TACATTGTTGTAAATTTCGTGATTGGCATTCTTTATGATATTCCAGCTCAGGTGATTATTTCAACAGTTAATGTTACAGTGGTTTAAGTCACTATTTAGTGCGATTTAAGCTACCTTCTACATATTATTTTGCCTGCTCTTCTATACAAGACACCTGTGTTAAATTTGGATCTTGTTGATCTTCATAAAATTAGAACATTATAACGTTTTTGTTCCACAGTTTATTACAGTATTTCTCGCTGTAATTTATAAAAAAATATTATTTTATCACTGTAACTTTATATTTTAACCTTCGTTTAACAGCCGACCCAATTTATGGTTTACGGCTATTAATGTTCAACTCCGTAGTCTTGTAATTTTGAACCCAATCCAGAAGACAAGTCCTGGATCAAGTATTGGCAGAAATTTGCCTTCATGAAAGACTTCTTGGTGGAACTAACCCGCATTTGCGTTACATGGAGAGTAAAACCACGAAGACCTTCCATGGTTAGCTTGACGGCAAGGGGACTCAAACCCATGATAACTTTAGTCTATTGCGAACTGTTGTCAACTTGACAACAGGGGCGCCGAGTTGGGAGGTCGCTTTGAAATCCCAAACCTTCGACATATTTTGCTTGATTATTTGACAAATTCATTTTCTTTTAATTTTATTAGAAAACATGAAGGAAATTATAAACAACGCGTTTTATTTCGTTTAAATTTCTAATTTATTTGGAGTAAAAAAAATGTAAAACTCCTACGATTGAGGAGAAATAAATAGCAGCGGATGTAGCCGTTAGTGTAATTAAAATTAAATATTAAAAAAAAAATCGATAGTATGAAATAAAACTTCGAAGAAAAGAATGAGAATGAAGCTCTTACAAAAAACATTCGTTGCTACGAGAAAAGAAAGGTAAAAATGAATTCAAATTGAGAATTATCAATAGTAATTTCAAAATAATCATTTTTATTTCATCTGTTTATATGTTGGTTTTATTGAATTATTATTAATTTTTATGCATATTAACTGGAAATATTAGGTATAAAGTCACGTTTACTTTTTCCAACTACTTTTCTTTATTATTGTTCACTTTTTAAATTCAACAAATAGAAAGATATTTTAAATAAGTTCAGTAAACTTTATTGAAATAAATTTTTTATTCTATTTTTTTTCTCATTTTCAATAACCTAAACTATATTTTCATTTTAAAGCACGATTTATAGAAAACATGTTTATTTCCATCCTGTTTTCGACGAGTTTTCCCAATTGCTAAATTATTTGTTACTCGATTTACGGAAGAGGAAAAAATTTTTTTTCACCTTAGCAGTGAATTAAATTATTCCTTCTTCTTTATACTTATTTATTTAATGGTTTACGATTTATTTATTGACTAGAATAAAAATAACAGCCCTTTATGTGCCAGGGGATTCATGGAGGTTAGGTCTTCACAATGTGGCATTTGCTGATTGTGACAGTGTGGTCAGCATTGCGCACAGGCAGCCTTTACTTGTCAGACAAACTGCTACCTATCGATCTGAAACTAGGTGGACTTCACGCCGCCGTTGAGAATCGAACCCTAAACTAATGAATTGCATACTTTTTAATGATTCTGTGAAATTCGAAATTTCTTTCGTCAAAATGTGAACTTTTCCCTCCCAAAAATAGAACTTCGCGACACCCCTGCTTGACAAGTGACGTGAGCTCTCGGGTACCGGGTCTTTAAATGGGGATACGCGTGCACTGTATTCCTATCCTGGCAACTAATGTTCAGCCTGTCGCTGGTTCTGATAAAGAGTTAGGATATCTTGTTTGGGAAGTGTATCTTTTGTAGCTAATAATTACGATATAGAACTTGACAGTCATCGTTTTGTTTTTATGCCTACTTCTCTTTAAACGGGAGATTTTAAATGTATATTTAAAGTGTTTGTAAATTGTATGCTTTATGATGTTGTTTTTTATTTAATAAATTTTATTTACAATTATAATATATACGATCTGATACTTGCACTGTAAAATTTTTAAGTTCTGGCAAAATTAAACTATTGAAGCTTACCTTTATTGTTATTTTATTACAGCTGCAAATATTGTGGGGGCGAAGGTTTTTCTGACTGGTGTCTGTATTTGTGTGTTTACTAATTTAACTAATTTAAACTCTAAATGTAACATTAAAAATAATGTGATGATTTTGTTAATACAGGCATAAAAACGCGTGCTTTTATTGAGTGTTTGGTTAAGCATCCACAGCTCACCTGTGGTTCCATATCTCTCTTATTTTATATGCCAATAGTCATCGTTGCCCTAGGGCAAAATCTCAGATTAAGAAGTCTGGTGCTCGCTGATGCGGGCAGGTACCTTATCAAGCACAGATCGTCGTCATCGAGTGTTTGTAATGTAAAGAATACTTCTTCAATAATAATAATAATAGTAATACTTCATCAGTTGAGTCGCTGAAATATCTTTTTTTTCCTCATATCAACTATCCAAAAAATAACTGTAAATTCTACAAAATAAATAAACGAATAATTAAATAAAATAAATTAACTAAATAAAATAAGTTAAGTAAATAAAGTAAATGGAAAAAAATAATAAAATAAAACAAATTACAGAAAAAAACTGTTTAAAGATAAATAAAAAAAAATTCTGTTTTTAATTGTTACTCGCCTCCTGCAAGAAATTCCCATTTTTTTTTACAGACTTTCTCAGTATATTTGACTGTTTAAAGCTATTTTTCACCAAACTGTTTTTCTCTGTTTTTCGACTTAATCATAAGCGAATTAAAACTGAAATTCAACTTCTTGCCATGCAATTTTGGTCACCGTAAGATAACATCTTTCTTCAAATCATTTTACGATTATTTTCTATGCTTGCTCTCTTACTTTTCAACAATTATTTTATGGTTTTGAACATCGTATAAATAATATTGCGATTCGAATTAATTGTCAAATTTATACTCTACCTGATTGTTATCTGTCTTTAGATATATTTTTTTCAGAAAGTTAAATTTCCAGACTTTTTATAAGAGTAGGTCACTATAGTTTTAAAGTTTTTACACTTAAATACGATTTCAATAAGCAAGACTTTTAAGATAAAATACAATTTAAGATTTATTTTCATAACCAAACACTAAAACTGCCGTGGCTCAGTGGACAGAGCGCTCATCTTCTAATGAGGAGCCCGGGTTCGAATCCTGGCGTTGTCTGTCATACGAATTCTGCTTTCGACTAGCACCGACTACAATTCTGATATAGTTATTTAATCGAGTTTTTTTTCTTTATTTTTTTTTGTCAAAATAACAGAGTTTGTTTGTTAAAATAGCAATACTTATCAGCTTAAAAAACGGGCTCCCGTTTTTAAATAACATTATTTTTCTGTGAAATANAGGATCGAGAACTTGACAGTCATCGTTTTGTTTTTATACCTACTTCTCCCTTTTAAACGGATTTTCAATGAATATTTAAAGTGTTAGTGAATTGTATGCTTTATACTGTTTTTTTTAATTTTATTTAATAAATTTGATTTACAATAATTTTGATTGTCACTCTACAAAAACTATCCGTGTGAATATATACGATCTGATGCTTGCACAGTAAAATTTTTAACTTTTGGCAAAATTAAACAATTGAAGCTTACCTTTATTGTTATTTTATTACAGCTGTAAATATTGTTGGGGCGAAGGATTTTCTGACTGGTGTCTGTATTTGTGTGTTTACTTTAACTAATTTAAACTCTAAATATAACATTAAAAGTAATGTGATGATTTTGTTAATACAGGCATAAAGACGCGTACTTTTTGTTGAGTGTTTGGTTCCGCATGTCTTTAACTTCTTAAATAGTGTTTAACTTCTGCAATAATAATAATAGTAATACTTCATCAGTTGGATCGCTGAAATATCTTTTTTTTCTTCCCTCGTATCTACACTCCAAAAAATAACTGTAAATTCTACAAAATAAATTAATAAAAGAAATAAATGAATAAAATTAATTAAAATAAATAAAAAATATTAAGTGAATGAAAGAAATAAAAAATAAATAAATTAAAAAAACTACAGAAAAAAACTGTTTAAAAATAAATGGAGTTTTTTTCTGTATTTAATTGTTACCCGTGTGCTGCAAGAAATTCCCATTTTTTTACCGACTTTCTCCGTATATTTGACGGTTTAAAGCTGTATTTCATCGAACAGTTTTTCTCTGTTTTTCGACTTAATCATAAGCGAATTAAAACTGAAATTCTACTTATTTCCATGCAATTTTGGTCACAGTAAGATAACATCTTTCTTTAAATCATTTTACGATTATTTTCTATTCTTGCTCTCTTACTTTTCAACAATTATTTTATGGTTTTGAACATCGTGTAAGTAATATTGCGATTCGAATTAATTGTCAAATTTATACTCTACCTGATTGTTATCTGTCTCTAGATATATTTTTTTCAGAAAGTTAAATTTCCAGACTTTTTATAAGAGTAGGTCACTATAGTTTTAAAGTTTTTACACTTAAATACGATTTCAATAAGCAAGACTTTTAAGATAAAATACAAATATAAGATTTATTTTCTTAACCAAACGCTAAAACTGCCGTGGCTCAGTGGACAGAGCGCTCATCTTCTAATGAGGAGCCCGGGTTCGAATCCCGGCGTTGTCTGTCATACGAATTCTGCTTTCGACTAGCACCGACTACAATTCTGATATAGTTATTTAATCGAGTTTTTTTTCTTTATTTTTTTTTGTCAAAATAACAGAGTTTGTTTGTTAAAATAGCAATACTTATCAGCTTAAAAAACGGGCTCCCGTTTTTAAATAACATTATTTTTCTGTGAAATAAACAGTTTTATACAGATACACCTGCTGACAGGTTTTTTTCTGTAAATTTAACAGATTTTTTTTACAGCGCATTGTTCGTCAATTCTGCAAAATCTGCTTACTTTAATTATTGTTATTAAATTGTTGCAGTATTGCAGTGTTAATTTTTCTTATTTTCGTATAAATTGTATATTTATAAATCTGTATTTTTTGTCTCTCAGATGATTCAAGCTGCCAAAAATTACAAAAATGGACATACAGGGCAACTATCAGCCGTTACTGTGTTTCTACTTTTCTTGGGAACCTTGGCGAGAATTTTCACGTCCATTCAGGAAACTGGGGACTCGGTTATCATATTTACATTCATTGTGGCTGCTTTTTCGAATGGTGTCCTGGCCGCCCAAGTCTTGTACTACTGGAATGTAACCAACAAAGTTCTCATGAAAGCTGACAAAAAGAAGAAATAAACTGTCGCCAACTTTACACGCAGAATATTCCAATAATATGTGATTTATAAATATAATATTTATTTCTACGCCTCTTCTTATTTTGGCGTTGAAATCGAGCTCTAGCAAAGATCTGAAATGTAGACTAATTTTAAACATTCGATTTAAATGTATGATTTCGCAACGACATTGAAGAAAATTTATTTTAAAAGAAATGGAGTAGGAATTTGACTGATTTAATTTTTTCTTGCAAAACTTAAATATATAGTGAAAGAATGACTATGAACAGCCACAGTCTCAAATAACATTAAATATTTATTTTTTCTCAATAATATGCTTTGTTTACTTTTATTTTATATATTTCTTTGAATAACACAAACAGTTCTTGAACAAGATATTTAATGTATAAAATGCTCAAATGTAAAGAGTTTTAGAAATTTTTTTAAAGTTTTTGACACTTTTTTTTTTTTTGGTATGAGACTTTTTTAAGTATTTCAATTATTGTTAATCTTCTGTCGATGTCTAAGATTTTAAGTAAGTATTGCTTTTGTAAGTTTGTAATAAACTATCAATAAATTCCTTGTATCTTTATGTTCGTTAAGAACATGAAAACATTCGTAATTTTAGCTGAACTTGTGATTGAAATGAATATTGCTTTATTTATTGCACAATTTATGTAATTATTTTTAATTTATTGATATTTGCTTTTACCTTTTAATGTATTAATTTTTGTTCATAATTTATTGTTAATAAATATTTGCTCCAAAAATACTAATTACAATAATATGTATTTTTAGGTTATGGTTCAAATATATATAAAGTTGTTTTTTTTTTCTTCAAATATTTATAAGTGATGCATTCCTAATTCCTCGGTATTATTTTGTACAATTGTATTTCTTTCCTGTAGAATTATCCATATCAGCCAAATTTTAAAACTTTTTCGCTTTTAATTTTTTTCCTGTGACAGCAAAATCTACTCTTTTATATTCGATTCTTGTTTTAATAATTTTGATATAAAATGATTTTGATCACAACAGGATCGGTTAAGCATGCAGCAATTTTTTTTAAAAAAACAGTTTAAAGTTAAAAAAGTAATTAAATTATAATCTGGCAAAAAAAGAACAGGAATTTTTTCTTCTTCAAAAAGCGTAAAAGTTAACAGATATGAGATCTTGTAATTAATATCAAGCTGAATGGAATTGAAATTTTATTGAATTGAATTTAGTTGAAAATATCCGTAGGTAAATTAATAAAATTTAGTTTCTTTCTCACTATTTTTTAGTAAATGCTATCGTTTTAATTTTTCTGATCTAAATTTTTTTTTTATATCAGGTATAAAAAATTACACATTTTATTCCAAATTTTTTTCATGAAACATTGTTATTATAAAAAAAGCATTTTACAGTTGTTTCAACTACAGTAAAGAATTTTTTTTTTAGTAAACTAACTGAACATTTTAAATTGAAGAAACAATAAAACAGTTTGTTTCCGAAAATTAATGTAAATTGGTTTGGCTGTTCTTTGCTGGTTAAAAAGAGTACTTCCTTACAAATTGTGCAAGTAAACTTAATTATTTGATTTTAACTTAAATATTAGCTTTAAGCAAAATAAAGTAAAATTCTGAGAAATATTCATGTCTGGAAACACTATCTTATTACGACACCGTAGTAAATATATAAATATATAGTGCTACCGAAAGTGGTATGCTAAGAATAATTAATCATATTTGAGATGTCACAAATAATTAAAATGCAGTTAATGCTCGCTGAATATTATTATATGGGCATCACATGAATTGTGTGTTTTTATATTTATTTGATATTTTATTATTTATTCTACTTAGCGCCTAACATGGTTATTTCAAAATGTATAAGATATTTTTTTTTTAACCAATGTGTAAGGGATTTCAGAATTTTTATTTCAAATGTTAAATATTTATGTGGTATTTATCTGTTATGCGAAATATAACAATAATTTTTTGTAAAATGGAATAAATTTTTTTTATAATAATTATATTTGTGTATTTGTATCTTCTTTATTTTGTCTTGCCCATTTAATCTAAAGAAAAACAAGTAATTATGAATTAATGGTGCATGCTGTATTCTGAGTTCGAGAAATTCCGCTTATTTTTTTTTACTGATTAAGGGCGTATTNCCCTTTTTTTTTTTTTTTTTTTTTTTTTACTGATTAAGAGCGTATTTTTGATTCTGATTAAGAGCCTATTAAGACTCAGGCTGGGTAGCATTACCACGCATGTAATTGTATTTTATTTTGAAGGCATGTTTAGATACAATTAAAATTATTGAATCAAAGCAATCTAAAATATAAACAGTTAGCAACCCCCCTTCTGGCTACTGTAAAATTGTCGAACGTTGACTGGTCTGCGGTGATGAAAAGGTTGAGAAGTACTGCTCAAAGGAAAAAAGAATTTTTTTTCTTTATCTAAAGTAAATAGATGATTTTTCATCTATGTAAAGAACTCAGTTCTAGACAATTTTTCACTAACGTCTGTAATGATTGTGCTTCTACTTTTAATTTTAAATACATGTAGCTACGACATCTCGAAGTGTTGAACTCCTGGGTAAAATTGTACCGAAATTTTCCTGCTACGCTGTTCTCTTCCGTTGAGTAACATGGGGAACTTAAGCTCAGAAAAGAACTCAGCTAGAAGCTCAGAAAAAGCCGGGACTAACCCTCACAGAACTATAACTTTTTTTTAAAAGAAATCTACTTACTACGTTATAAATTTAATTTTAACATTCTTATAACTTTATCTTATACTATAATACGAGGAATGGTTGCCAAGTCGAAAATCGACCCAGAATTAATAAACTCCGGTAAACTTGGGGGTCTGGGGTTTTTGGCCACGAGGAATCGATTGGCGCCGGTTTTGAAGCGCTACGGTCGAGCAGTTCGGAGTTACAGATAGGATATTTTCAAACTTTATTAGTTCGCCATAATGGCTATAGANTTAATGCTCGCTGAATATTATTATATGGGCATCACATGAATTGTGTGTTTTTATATTTATTTGATATTTTATTATTTATTCTACTTAGCGCCTAACATGGTTATTTCAAAATGTATAAGATATTTTTTTTTTAACCAATGTGTAAGGGATTTCAGAATTTTTATTTCAAATGTTAAATATTTATGTGGTATTTATCTGTTATGCGAAATATAACAATAATTTTTTGTAAAATGGAATAAATTTTTTTTAATAATAATTATATTTGTGTATTTGTATCTTCTTTATTTTGTCTTGTCCATTTAATCTAAAGAAAAACAAGTAATTATGAATTAATGGTGCATGCTGTATTCTGAGTTCGAGAAATTCCGCTTATTTTTTTTTACTGATTAAGGGCGTATTTTTGATTCTGATTAAGAACCTATTAAGACTCAAGCTGCGTACCATTACCACGCATGTAATTGTATTTTGTTTTGAAGGCATGTTTAGATACTATTAAAATTATTGAATCAAAACAATCTAAAATATAAACAGTTAGCAAACCCCCCCCCCTCTTCTGACTACTGTAAAATTATCAAATGTTGACTGGTCTATGGTGATAAAAAAAGTTGAGAAGTACTGCTTAAAGGAAAAAAAAAACTTTTTTTTTTTCTTTATCTGAAGTAAATAGATGATTTTTCATCTAAATGAGAACTTTTTTCATCTATGCAAAGGTCCCGCAGTGGACTGATCGTTAAGACACGGTTCCCAGCAGATCACCGAAGTCAAGCATCACTGGCTACGGTCAGTGTGCGGGTGGGTGACCACTTGGATCAGTCTGCGTAGGGACCGAGGGTGTGCGGTATTGGTCCTCGTTAAACTGTGCTACCGTAAAGTGCTCGACTTCGCACGCAGGTCGTCGGGCTACCGAAGCGGGGGTGCCATCCCCTCCGCAGAGGATAAAAATTGTGATGGCATGTCTTGGGATCATCCTCCGGGATGTTTCCCAGAACGTCGCCAATAGCCCATTGTGCAGCTCTAGTGCGACGTAAATTAACAACAACAATCATCTATGTAAAGAACTCAGTTCTAGACAATTTTTCACTAACGTCTGTAATAATTGTACTTCTACTTTTAATTTTAAATACATGTAGCTACGACATCTCGAAGTGTTGAACTCCTGGGTAAAATTGTACCGAAATTTTCCTGCTACGCTGTTCTCTCCCATTGAATAACACGGGGAACTGCAAGCTAGAAGCTCAGAAAAAACCGGAACTAACCCTCATAGAACTATAACTTTTAATCTACTTACTACGTTATAAATTTAATTTTAATATTCTTATAACTTGATAAACTAAAATCAAACTTCAATGCAAATTATTAAGTTCTAACATAAGCTTGATTTGCTTACAACATTTGTACTTTCGCCAAACTGATGAACAGTTTACTCTCAAGATAATTTTCTAAATCAATAACAAAAATTTACTATTCAAACTAAAAAAGGCATAGTTACGGTTGAGTCCGTAATTCCAAGACAGGATGATGGATTTTTCCAACTAAAATCCAAAACTGCAAACGATAAATCTGTAATGGAACTGAATGATAAATGGAATTAATTAAACGAAAAGGTGTCAGAAACGCCTCATATATTTATGTATATATATATGCATATAAAAAGAAGAAGAAGAAAAAAAAAGCATATCGTTTTCTACACCCCGTAAAGAGGGGAAGCTGCAATCGAAATCCATCTTTTCCATCGGAATATCATTCCAAATTAATTATCCTCCGCGTAAAATGGCATCCGAATCAATTATTGTTGCGGCGAAAAATTTCGCAGTATTTCATAACCGAGGAAGGATTCGATGAGGGGGGGTATGAATCCGGGAATGACCGGAGAGATGTATATCCTTTTTCCCAAAAAGAAACGGGAGAAGAATTACGGCATAGGCAGCCGTAGAAAATCCAATACCCAGTCCAGACTTAGAACTTCCCATGAGTTCCTTTTGTTGGAGGAACAGGTAGTATGCGGCCTTACCACCCTTCGCATGTCCATTTTCCCACAAATGGAACACTTTATTAATTCTCCGATTTCTGTTATGACTGATGAGCCAAAACTTATTGGAAGAGTCTGATCTCAGCCTCAGAGTAGGAAAGTTCTAATAGCTATGCGTAATGGTTCTGTTGTGCAAAGATAAATGTTACCTGTTCTTATTTAGCCAGGTTAAGGAAAGTGGGGGATCGCCAATCTTGGCGAAGAAGAGAAAAAAAATTGAACTAGAAATTTTTAATAAATTGTGTTTTATTATAGTCTAATAATTAATTATTGTTGTGGGTGTTTTACCTATTTACACGAGATAAGATAATAAGTGTAATCAAAACAAATCAAAATAAAAAATAAGAAAAAATATTTGTAAAAAAGTAAAACACCATTTTGCCTATCTTGATGAAATATGTGAAAATGGAGAGTTTTTGCAATTCCGATAGTCTATGTTAGCCCTTTTGAACACTATTGAACATATACAATAGCAATAAAGCAAACGTAATAAAGCAAAGGTATGTAGGTGCTTTATATAAGTCGCACTGGAGGTGCACAATGGGCTATTGGCGACGGTCTGGAAAACATCCCTGAGGATGATCCGGAGAGAACATATAATCCCGTTTAACAGAGAGGACACACTTACACATCATCCATCCATCCGCAGACATTTGACCTGACTCAGAGCACAATCAATCTCCGATACAGTACCTCCAGAGGTCTTGATTAATTAAGGGAAGTAGGAGAACTTTGTAACCCCAACAGATTTCGCTTGCACCATTCATCATTTTTTACATTGAGAGTCGTCAACTGGTGAGGATCGAACTCACGACCACTCGGACATGGGCTCAACGCCCTACATGCCAGGCTATCGCGACTACCTTGGTCAAATAGAATGATATACCCAGATAATGAACCGGCGTGGCTCAGAGAATGGCCGGGAGTTCACCTTCCAATGAGATTAACCAGGTTCAAATCCCAGCTGTGGCTGATCGATACAAGTTCCGCACACGGCTCGCACTGACGTAAAAGATCCTCACTAGTAGATGGATGATGGGTTAGACTTCCCTTACCGCCAAGCTAACCGAGAGAGGTTTTCGTGATTTTCCTCTCCATTTAGCGCAAATGCGGGTTAAA